CTTCAGCAGAGGCCACGCCTCCAGCAAGAAATCGCTTCTCAATAGCAGCGAGTCCAGACCCTCTGTACGAAGCAAAGTGAAGGACAGGGTCTGGTTTTTACCAGGCTAACACCTTCCCAAATGAACTGGACTTTCTAGGCACTAGAGTTCATTTAAAGTGGACTAAACAGGGCTTGTGTGAATGCACCCTTAGGCAGCAGTTAAATACACATAAGGGATGCAGGAACTGACACAATCCATGATGTTGCATTTAATTTGTCCTCGAAATGTCAGAAACTCATTTTCTGAAACAGTAGCAACTAAACTTAATTCTGTCCATCATAAATGTACATATGAGTGTTAAATATGTTGATATGGGAGGGAAAACGAGAAGAAAGAAAGAGTTTACAGCTTAATATGTGCAAACCTAGCTCACCCAACAGGGAGCTTATGAAAGAGCCTACAGCTAAAAGCATCTATAGCTGGAATACAGCTAGACTGTGGGCTGAGCAGCTCAGTCACAAACAAAGAATCCCCCTGTCTCATAAACCCACCCAGACTGAGGAGACACAGCCGGCAAGGAAAGGAAGGAGAGAGGGTGACTGAGTGAACCATCATGTGAGCAAACAAGCAAAAACATCCAACAAACCCTCATTATTTTCTAGTTTATGATTGGTGGGGTTGTTTTTATTGCCAGTGGGCTTAAAGGTGGGCAATTATGTTTATCTGTCAGCAAAATATCCCATGAAATGGATTGCTTTTGGAGTTAAACAAAACTAAATCAATCACTGGATACACAAATACAACAAGTTTTGGGTCAACCCCATCCAAAATGGCTACTATTACTAAACTTAGCTTGCACAAATATGGATGTGACTCAGTTTTCCAAATATTGAGCTAAAATTTGATGTGGTGGTAGTTGAGAGCCATTAACACGTATACTGAATGTGACATCACGTGATGTTATGATCACATATGTTTGTGCAAGGTTCACCAAAAATGGCTACAACTCCAAGATTTCTCACTCTGAGGTTGTCTTAGTCAAAAATGTTGTCAAAAATATTGGCATAAATTCAAGTATACTTAAAAATGTTCTATGCAGGAAAAGCTACAGCAGGGGTTAACCCCCCCCCACCCACCTCACCCCACACACCATGTTAAATAAAAACCTTAGTCTGACACAAGTCCAGCCCTGCAACTAAGCAAAAACTGAAATGTGGGAAAACCTCCTGAACACACAAAAGATTTCCAGATAAGATTTCATTCCACCACTGATCTAATTAAACAACAAACAAACAAAGCCCCACTTTTTCATCCAAGCAGTAAACAATTTTATCATCAAAGATGGCAGCGAAACAGGAGCGCCTAAATTCATTAATGACTGATCAACTCATTGCTGAAAAGGCACTCATGACAGCTGGTCTGTTTTAGAGCATTTCAGGCCTCTAGAACTTTAACAACCTTCAGAAAACGTTACTATTTTAGTGTGTGTGTGTGTGTGTGTGTGTGTGTGTGTGTGTGTG